GGGAGGTTACTTGCGGCCAAGCTGTGCTGGCTGTGGTTTATCTTCCAGTGGCTACTGATCTCTGGACTCTCAGATTGAGCAACACGACAGGAGGAAGGCAGCTACAGAAGCAGTTAGAGACAAAAGCAGCACAGAGGGGGTGCTCGAATTCAAACGAGAGAGTGACGGGGGAAAACTGCGCCTTAGCAATATTGAAACTCCACAGCTTCAGAAGCACAGTGAGGTAAAATGCCAGACAGAACTTTTTATTTGGGGAGGAGTGTGATGGATTTGAGAGAATGAGGGGAGGGGGGGTGGTTAAGCAAGGGTCCGGTAGGGAATAATTGTGGTGACAGCCAGTACAGGGGGGGACAAGCACTCATGTGAGACACAGAGGAATTAAAAGATAAAGAGAGGGAAAAAGAAACAGGGGCAGACTGGCCGGCCTCAAACTTTTCTTCAGTATGGGTGTGAAGAGGAAGGCTGCTGCTGCAATTTTAGTCCTGCTGCTGTTCCTTGGCTCGCTTTGGCTACGTGAGTATTTATTTCTCTGTCAATGTGTGCGTATATATTTGGTTTTAGTGTTGCACTATTAATCTATTTAAGCTCTCTCACTTGGAATGCATTTGCTCCACATCAGGAATGCGTCACATGGTGCAGAGCCTGCAGATTAAAGCAAGGTGGTCATACTTCACCATTTAGTTTCAGTTAAACAATTGCCTCAGGCAAAAGATTATTTGTTATGTTTAAATCCATAGAGCATCAGTTTAATCCATCTGTGAAAAAGTTTCAGAGCATTGATTTTTAGAACCGTTCCAACAGTGACAGTGTGATCTAGTTTTATTTGGCTCTGATTCCAGAGAAGCCACCTCTGCACTGTCAGTGATGTGCTGAAAGGTTTTCATTTCACTTGGCTTCTAACGGAAAGACTTCACATACCTCCCTGAAAGTTTTGGCGTCTTAAAATAGTGCTGTTGACTTAACTTAAAAACATCTTTGCTGTTGTGAAGTTACCCAAAAATGTTTGCAGACGCTGAAAAGTTTATGTGTCAAATTATTTAAGGGATCTTAAAATCAATGGCGTTTCTACAGTTTGTCTGCAGTTTTGTAAAGGATGCTGGAAGCAAGAGGGACCCACAAATTCTTAAATGAAGATGAATTGTGCATCATTATGAATAGACCCTAAAATTAAAGTGATTTGATGATTGGACATCCAGTAGGCATTAAGAAAATCACTGCTCTCACGGCTCCAAGTTGACAAATACAGTAGTCAGGGCCAAAAATTGATCGCTTCAACTAGAACATGAGGTGTACTGAGGATGTCAATTAAGATCACTGAGTTTTGTTTTGTCGAAAGCAGGACATGGCTTGAGATGGATTAAAACTCATCATGCTTGACTTGCTGCAGAGAAACGCTATTCGCACCCACGAGAATGCTTCTCTTTGTGTGCTGTGTAATATCGCCTAAGGCCTGGCCTGAAATGAATAGGAAAGTGTGAGCACAGAGGTTCAGCCTTTCCATAATCAGTTTACAGTTAACAAGAAAGAGATCTGCCAAATCGCACTGAGTGCCAATGAGTCCTTATAAAATAAGGATAGTCTTATGTAATTTAAAGCAGCTCTAATAATTATTTCCACAAGAAATAATGCCAAAGAAAATGTATGTGCAGGTGGTATGTTTGATGATTCTACAAACCATCCCCTAAATCACAAGCTCACCATAGTAAAGCAGAATTAAGCTCATCCGGTTACCCTAAAGATTTTAGGGTCCTGGCTGTTGCACTTCAGCCCACTCTCCTCTCTCTAGACTGTATTAGGAAAATATCTTAATAGAAAAGCTTAAAAATAGCCAAAATAGAGTGATTCTCAGAACTTCAGAATAGGTAAACATAACTGCAACCAAAACCCAAAGCCCAGATGGCTGCTCCTCTTATGTGTATTTGTGTTGGCTCGCTGGAGCGGTTACCGGCACAGGGTGCACCGCCACTTTACCCTGATGAGATGAGCTGATATAAGGTCCAAGTGAAACTCAACTTTGACATTTCTGCTGCTTTTTTTTGTGTTTTCTTTGCCTATCTCACCGTTGTGTCCACTCTTTAAGAGTTTCCTGCAGACCCACCTCTTCAAAGAGCATCTCCTATCCTAACTCTTACCAATACCTCTATACCCCCTCTACTACTACTATGACTTCGCTGTCACCACTAATTCTGACCAGGGATTTTCCTCTAGAGATCTTATTGTTAGATTGATGAGAACTGTAACATTGTGTCTACTTTGTAAGTTGCTTTGCATAAAAGTGTCTGCTGAATTCATAAACATAAACATAACCAACTTGCCTTTAGGATGAAAATACATGCTGGTTTTATTCTTTGTTGGCCCTGTGATGGATTGGCAAAATGTCCAGAGTGTGTTCTGCCACTCGACCAGTGGTAGATGGGATACACTCCAGTCCACCACAACTTTGGGGAGGATTAAGCAGGCATAGCCAACGGAGCGAGAAAATGGAAAACTGACTACCGGAATTCCATGCCAGCCACAGGCTTAAAAACTCAAATTCTTAGCCCAGATTTTAGGCATGACCTCTGCATTTCGTACCTCCCTTTAAGCAACTGAGGACACCAAACTGCAGTGTTTTTCTACAGCAAATATTTTTCCATTTGAATTTAACAGACACAGGATGTTAGCAGTGTAATACGATGAGGCTTTGCCTGTTATATATGTTTGTTTCTAAATGTCTGGGGTGCAGGTAGGCCACAGTGGCTTCTGAGATAATTCACTCCAAAGACTTGTGTTATGGCGTGACCGGACAATGGTTGGGTAATATTTTGCTGAAATGGCACACACCTTGTTATTTAAGCAAGATAGTCATATCAACAATGAGTACTTCATCTGGACGGCAGCAGCTGTAGCTCCATTATGTGAATGACTTGGTCAGCATGTATTGTCCTCTAACAAACCTGCGACTGAAAAGTATCCGTTGACCACAGCATCGGCTGTCAGATGTGCTCTTCTGCTCATGGGCCCCTTGAGTTTTCATCTTTTTATCCTGCTTACTTTCACTGAGAAATGAAGTCGAAAATTCAGACTTGAAATAATTGGAATTATCGTATCAAATTTTTAATGGCACTTTGGTATGACTTGCTTATGTTTCTCTTTGCTGTCTCATTGCAGAAGGAGGTTTGGATTACCACTGGGATTCTTGTTTAAAAGGTTATAACCAGATAAATAAGGTAAGAGTGCAACCTGTATGGAAATGTTGCCTCCACTTTACAGGGATGATTTTGTTCAGCAGATGGGCAGTGAATTAATAAATCTCATCAGCTTTCTCCTTCCATTGTCCCATGTTGATTGCCCCTGCATTCACTCACCTCCCATCCCCCCGCCCTCAGTTCTACCAACTGTCCAACAGCAGCGGGACAAGCACAGCTGAGGACCCGCAGGTCCTCTCATTGTGTCCGGGACAAAACTTCCAGGTGTCAGCGCTGCTCTCCCACCTGCTGGACTCTCAGGCTCCCGATTCGGACCTGCTGCTGCAGCCATATCTGTCCAGCTGGGATGAGCTTGTGAAGTAAGATCATTAGATGAAGCTGCCGTTAAATAAGAAATATATAATTTATTACATCCACCAGACATGAGTCATCCTGTCGTATGTTAATGTTCCAGGTTTATGGAATCCCTTGGTCCCATGGTGGGTTTGATATCTAGCGAGATCGAAAGCAAGACCTCCATTATCCGCCAGCTGGCTCTGTTATCCGAGGAGAATCCTGAAGCGGAGTTTGGTTCAGATGTGAACTCATTAAAGTCTGTCAACTCACAGACTGGGGAAAAGAATGACTTGGAGGCCTCCCCTCACACCGGTGCATACCACTCTCTGCGTTCCATGATCAGTGCGGAGCTGAGCCGGGGCCTGGTGGACTTCCACCGCCAGACAGACTCAGGATGCCGGACTCTTCTCCGCCTGCACCGCGCTCTGCTTTGGCTCAAGCTGTTCCTGCAGAAGCTGGCCGAGACACCGGAGGCCGGTCGGCTCAAGAGCCCCTCGGACCTGTGCCGTGAGGCCTACCAGAACACGCTCGCCGTCCACCACACCTGGTTTGTTCGCAGGGCTGCGGAGTTGGCTTTCATCGCCATGCCACAGCGAGGGTTTTTCTTCAGGCTGGTGTGTGTGCAGAATCAGGAGGAGCTCAGCAAATTGCTCAACAGGGTTGTCAAAGCCATTGGGAAAGTTTATGACAGGACAGAGAAAGCCCTCGAAGAAAATGGCATGCTGGACTTGCCATAGAAAACTTAATAGAAAATGTCAATTCTGTTGCTGTTTAATCATGTTTTGCACTGTTTTCAAGGGATCTTTGAAACTGCTTGATACCACCATGGCTGCATGACTACAAACATGGCGTAAACATGTCAAGCATGCACGAATCGACATGCACGAATCGACAATTTTTCCATCGAAAATATTTGTGTTGTCAACTTCTTTTGCCTTCCAAAGTGTTGTGTCAACAATCACTGTACGGCAAGTCTTGGTGCCGCCCGACAGTGTGGGATGTTGTAAACTCTGGACCCCCCATCTTGAAGGCAACTTAAGGCAGCCGATTGTAGGCAGGCTGTGAATAATCAAAGCAGGTGTGCAGAGTAGCAGGACTACAGTCACCTGTACTGAAAATATAGTGTTTAATGTTTCCTTCTGCCTCGTCCAAAAGACGGTCTTTTTTTTCTCTTGAGTTGGTAAATCATTGTTTGTGTAAGTGTAGTTCATAATCCCTAATTTTGTATGCTACCTCAGAATTGGCTCTTTTTGGATGCCTTAGCCATAAAATCCCTACTGGACTTTTAAAGAAAAATGTACATATACTTTGAAAATATTGCATCATGTTCAGAATGATGACATTTTGGTAGAGATCACAACCAGGCAGATTCTGTTTCCTTAAACACAGTCTGTTGCAGTAATCTAAACCCAACTGAACTGTAATGTGGTTTGTCGTCCAGCAGAGGGTCCACAGCTCCATTTTTAACTCATCTGTACTTCCCAGAGATCACAGTGCCTATAATCTGCTCAGTACCTCTGTGCACTCATTTTTCAGTTAGTGGATAAACTTGAAATATATTCCAAACTTAAAATACTTTTTCCTCATAAAATCATTCTAAGTATTTTTATGGCTTCAATACTGATTAAATCCTTCAATAAAGAGCCACAATATACATTCGAAAATCCAGGGTTTTGTTTTATATCTAGAGGAATGCTAACATGGAGAATAACGTGCAGCTGGTCCGCACTTGTCTCCATCAAACTATTTAAAACCCACAAATACCTCTAATGCTATGTAATCCTGGCCACCCACCTCTTCCAGCAATGCTCTCCCTTATTCTGAGGAAGAGACACGAGAAAAAAAAACCTAAGGATAAAGCTTGGAGCTTGATTGAGTCGGAGACAGGAGCTGGGTGAAGGTCAGTGAGCGGAAGTTCATGTCACCTCTAATCTGGTAAAAGACTTGGCGTCAGAGTGTTTCTGATTAACTCAAAAAGTCAAAATGAAGCAACCTAAACAGGCCTTTGCATATTATCTGGTCTGTGCTCTTAACCCTAAAAAATTATCTGAGAAATAATCAAACTTTGACTTGTGATGTAACAAAGTAAATGACATCGTGCTGATGTTGTTTCCACTATTTGACGACATCTTTTCACACATCATCACAGTGTGTGGCAAAATGGAGCTCTTCCTCTTTTAGATGTGTTACCATGCACCTGGATATGTGCAAAGACCAACACTAGTATCAAGTGGTACAACAAGCTGGGAGGATTATGGTGAATGAGATTACTATTTATATCCAACTGAAGCTACTTTTGACACTGGATGGATTCTTTTTCTACCCCTTGTAAAGATCACAGTAGATTTAAACAGATCCTAGTACATATCCTTGAGCTATAAATTCAACCCTTCTCTTGTCAGATAATCCAAATCAAAATATAAATGACACACATGAAGAGCAAAACTGAGGTTTTGAGTTCCCTTAAATGACATTTATTTATTTCTCTATCTTGGTTTGCAGTAAACATGAGCAAAAATATACATACAGTAAGAGCAAAAAATAAACATACAGAGTATTTTCTCTTTTCGCTTTGGGCCAAAAATTTTAACAAATTAGTTAAATTCATTTCTCAAACAATACTTTCTCTCCAATCTTAAGCAACAGTGCAGATGAACTTCAAGAGGATATGTGCAAGTGTGAACATTTATTGTATTCAATCCTTATTTGAAATGTTGTGGCTGACACTCTGACATTTGCACTGGGCACCTTTGTACAGATTTTAAAAGTGCTATGAGAGTTAAGTGCTTTTTTTTATGATTGCAAGCTTTCCAAGATCCTTTTAAGAAAGCAGATCTGACTCAAATGACAGGAAAGACAGTCAACCGAAAATGCTCCAAAAACAAACATTTGAAAATCTAACAAGTAGTTCTCGTGACACAATACAATCCAAGCTAATACATTCGCTCCTCTTTACAACAAAAATACTCTTTTATAAACATATCGATTCTTTTATATTGCCTGCAAAACTGTCTGAATGCAATAACTGTTCCTTCCTTCCATTTTTTTTCTCCTGTTCTTGTTGGTACACAATTCTGTCACAGCCTTTCCACCAAATGGTCGTACATCCACACAAGAAATAAATATATTGCTCTTTTAGGACATCCTCAAATTATCACATAAAAATAAATACATGAATGGAGACTATAGGAAGTAACATTCTGTGACACTGGGGAACAACACTGTCTGTCCACCAGGAGGCACTGTTATGTTGTAGTAAAATGTTTTTTTTTCTTTTATTGTGCGTGTTATTATATAAGGGGGGGCATGTTTTTATAACACAGCCCTCCAACTGGATCCTACAGTGTCTCTGAAAGAGATCTTTGTTTATTCCTGTTGTTGAGGATGTGTCAGTGCGGCACAAATAGATGACATCTAAACTGTCATGAAGATCTTTGGTTCAGGATATAACCTTCTACCACTCATGAGTAAAACAAGATTATTCATGGGGAGATTTGAAAAAAGAAAATTGGATTTGCTTTGCGTTGGTTGAGCCTTCATTGTATGTGAAAATGATTTTGGTCTGGAGCATGATTTGTAAATGAATGAATATTTGGTTTGTAAGTGAGCCAGGTGTTTGCCACAAGGAGGAGGAGCAACAAAGCGGGGGTAAAGAAGTTTAGCGTGCCTGCTCTGGATTATCTGACCAGATTAAGAGATTACAGTGAAATTAAGTAAGGTTTGCAGGGCTGCCAGAGGAGAAACACATGTGAACTGGTCAGAGGGAGTCACAAAAAGCTAAAAAAGAAGAGCCTGTTAGAGCGTATCCCTCGTTTTGAATTAGGACTCTATTTAAGATCTAATTACCACATTAAATCTGATTGCCTTTCTTTTATTCCCTGTCAAATTTGGTTCAGTTGACTGGTCCCTCTTTAGACATCCGTGAGATAGTTGTGAAAACACTAAGAAACACGCTTTGTTGCTGTATTTCACATCCACTGTGTTACGGCAGACAGATTGCCCAGAGGTTTATTTAACTTTGTGGCTGTGCAGAGGTAAGATTCAGTGTGTAACTTTGAACACCTGAGGTCATACTCTGATATTTGCAGATTTTTTCCCTAACAAATCAGCAAAACACAATGACTGAATAAGGTAATGCAGTCCAGCAGAAACGACAGGCATGCATGAATTTTTGATATTGGCTGGGAAGTTTTCAAGACAGCTTTCCTTTAGTGTAAAGAAACAACAGAAATCGAAACAAGAACAAACAAACAAATGAATAACTGTTGTTTTTCTGTATGGTCAGTGAAGTTCTGTACATCTTCTGGTTTTGTCATTTCCTACCGATCTACTCACAACCTGGGCACTCATATTCATATTAAGTCAAGTAGAAGTAAACTATACTTTCTAATATCCTGGATGAAGACTTGAAAAAGAATACGGAAGAAATATAGGTAACAAACAAATGTCCTACATCCTCATCCTTTAAAAAACGTTTTTCCATTTATCAAATTGTCTGAGCTTCACAAAAGGAGGGAAAAACACACTTTAAGTGCAAACAATAAAAAATATGACAATGGCATCTATTTCTCTAACAAACCAAATAGATGAAGAATACCCAAAGAAAAAAATACATTTCAGTTACTGAGACACCCAAAAAAAGATTTGAATGTAATTTTAAGAATAAAAACCCAGTAATTAGGATTGCTATGTCAACAAAATATTAATTTCTGTTTTCATCTGATGTATTGTCATTTTATTCAACTGAAAAATCTGTATTTGAGACATGTGACTGACCTACAGTCTCTTAATATAACTGATATGGTGTTAACACGAGGATTCACAGCAACCTAGATATAAATAATTACCATCTTACAGGCTGCTCGCAGCTCAAACAATATCAGATATTCTAAAACAATGATTATCCACTGCGAGTCATCTGAAGAATGGACACAAGCATTCATAATGTATGCCACTTAATGAATATTGCACATTGCATGCAACTTCCCGACCTACAGTATGAAATTGACCTGTGGAATGGAATACAAACACACACACACATGCACAAAAACACACGTTCTCCAGTTCTGAGGACTTCTGCTGGATACTTCACATTTTTTAGGGGAACTTACTGTAACCTGTTTTCAAAATACACACACACACACACACACTTAGACGTGTGTGAGGGTTAGAACCTGCAGTGTGGTCCCTCCTGGTGGTCAGTCATTTAACATAGGCCTATTTCAAACTGATGGGAGAGGTGGGAAACGGGGGGCCTCCTGCCGTCATAGCACACTAAGGACAATACACACATGCAAATGGCTTCATCTCTGCATCCATCCATCGAGATATATGCAAGTCTGTTGGATTATTCTTTTAAGTGCAACAAAATAGAGGTACCGATATAGGTGATGATGCTGTATAAATACTGGAGATATACACATTCTGCATTGTAATTTGTGTATATCCATATATAGAGGGATACTCTATAAGGAGGCAGCAGGAGGTGAGCAGCAATACTGTGGTGATGTTGCTGATCTTTGCAAATTTTGAAAACACATCCTTCATATCCCCTAATTTATCATGCAGTATAAATACACGTCACCTCAAACTAATTTACAGAAAAGTATTCGTTTGAATGCTCACAGACAGAAAAAATGACAGGATTACCACCCTTTTACTCTTGCCTCATCGCGTCCCACTACTGGGAAAACAATTGCCCCCCTTCGAAAAACCGAGTGGGGTTGTAAACAAATCCCACAAAGGGTGTGAATGCTGTTATTTTTTTCGGTGTATGCGCAGTGTTGCAGAGAATGAAGAGAGTGGGTGGACCTAGTTGTTAGTGTTGATCCTCAGCTTAAAAGACACTTTCCCAGCAAACTTGTCTCTTTCAGTTCCCGCGGGAATGTTGTTGGCGTGGATCTTGCACTCAATGTTGACATCTTCATTCTGAGTAATGTTAAGGAACTTTACGGCAACCAAAGGCTGAGAGTAGTTCACCTGCAACAAAAGGTCCAAGACTGTCTTTAAACATGGGAGCAACATCGACTCTGTGGTCATTTTAAATTGTTACAAAAACAACAATCAGAAATAGGAGAAAACAGTTCTTCTGGAAATAGTTACATGTGAATAGTTTTTTTATAATAAAAAAAAGAAATAGACCTACCTGAGCTTTCTTGCCATAATAAGGGTAGTACATAAGGTTAAAAGTGCCATTTGGAGGGTAGTAAACCAACTCTCCAATTTTCTCAGTGTCTTCTCTCTGCGGGGTGAAAGAACTCAATGAGTTATGCTTGATGAATCCCTTTCTAATCACTAGACTATATTTCCCAGCGGGTACATATCTACTTTTGCAGTCTATGTGATGCCAGAAAATAACATAATCCAGGCCATTCACTGCGTCACAACACTCATTACTTCTATGAAAACGTGAATGGAATCTGGACTCTACCGAAGGCAAGTTCTGTCCTACTCTTACCCATTGATCTTTTCCAACTTTGTATTTCTGAGATGTAGGAATTAAAAAAAAAAAGAAACATGATGGGAAAAAAGAGGAAACCAGCAAAGTACACAGTTGGTACAAATGAAAAAGTGGCATGCGACAGAGGTGATGATAGAAAGAGCACAAATGCACACATTAAAGGGAGATGGAGGAGGGTTATGGGTGACATATTGAAGATGGAAGTCTCCCACAATAGCTGCAACTGGGCTAGAATCCAAATGGTTATGTAGAGCTCTTCATTGTGCGAGACAAAAAAAGGATTACCTTCGCACCACAGGTGACAAACGGGGCCTGTCCATTTTTTCCTGGCAGCATCCCAATCACCTGGAGAGAAAGGAGGGTGGATTATATTTTTCTGTTCAGACACAGAGACATTTTATACATATTTTATAATATGATGAGGAGTGGCACATTTCACTGAACAGCTCACAGTGACTTTTCGTTTTGCAGGGATCTTTGCCTTATTCCAAACCAATTTCATTATTTCAGTTGCTTCATGTCTCCTAGCAACATCAACCCATTCCTTTCCCTCTTTTTTCTTTCATACCCGATTCAGCTTGATGATGATGCATGGTTTGCCCTCCTGGTATCCATAGTAACGGTCCTGCATACCGGAGCAGACATCAAGAATGGTGCGGTTGAACTGACAGGAGCGTTTCGGATTGTTCTTCACATCACCACTGTCCTCCTGCTGGAAGTACTGGTCAGGGGTGCACTCGTGATTTTTCTGGGCCTGGATGGAGTCGTTGTAGGCTTCAGGGGAGAGGAGAGCGGAGGTGGAGTTTATTTAGTTTGCAAGGGCTTATGACTCAACTAAAACCTTGTTGCAAGGCAACCACCTACTCGCTGACGGTGAAGGAATTATCTCTTATTAGGCAAAAAACAATTCATTCTGGATCACTAGATAATCCAGAACTGTAAGCCATTTGACTCATTGTAGCGGAGGAAAGGAGCCAGACTTACGCGACAGGAACTTGTCCAGGGCCTGAGCATACATGTCCCAGCTCTCAGTGTTCTGGATGTTGTAGACAATCTCAAAGGTTTCATGAGCATGGGGTCTAATCACCATGCCTGTGAACGACATGGAGACAGCAGGAAGGTCATGGCACCCCGAGCACAAAGTGCCCTGCACTCACACGCTGTAAATCTGTACTATCTATACCTGGAGTGGAAAGCCTGTCTTGCCAAGTTGGCTTGTGGTCATCCAGGGTCTGCAGCATGACGTACATGGTGAGAGAAAACAGGCCGGCGAGAAAGATGTAGAAAACTAAATAGAAGAGAAGGATGAGACCTGCACACAAAGAGAGGAGAGGTTTATGTTTCTGTCCGTCAGAAAAGCCATTGTTTCACGTGTTACATTGTCGACACACTCAGTGGTATCACTGTAGATTCTGACTAAAGATCTATCATTATCTATTATGTATCTATCTATTATCTATTATTTTTTCTCATGGGGAGAACTAAGTTGGCATCAGCTGGACTTGAACCCGCAACTTCTCAAAATATAACTAACAGGATTCATGTATGTGGTATACATGAATCCTGTTAGTTATATTTTGTTCTTGTGTCTGAGGTCACTGACTAAATGGACACGGTACTACAGGTGGTGCTCAGTATCCTCGACGATATTCATTTGTCTGCAGCCTCGGCCAATCTCCTTTCCATTCACGTAATGATTCATTTCCTCAAACATTGCTGCGTGCCTTCACCCAATAACGAAGACAGCGAGGTCTCTGACACCGACTGGAGGACGAGGCTGTAGACATGATTAAATGGCTGGTAACAAATTTCATGAAAGGGCTGCTCTGATTAAAAAGGCGAGGGAACGACGACAGAGGGGATCCAGGGAGGAAGAGAACAGAAGGACCCCCTGGAGACCAAGCCATGGAGTCACTGGAGCGAGATCATAGTGAGAACGTTACATGTGACAGAATGACAGGCGGCAAACAGTAGTTAGGCCCTCTAAAGATCTGCCGGTCGCTATATGTGAAGAAATCATCTCAGATTTTTTTTAAGGCAGTTGCTGGCGACAGAACAACATAAATAAGCTTTTTTTGTGACGCATCAACACCTGAGGCCAAATGTGCACAGCAGCTGCGCAGGCTGACCCCGTGCTTCTGCGGGGAGGCCCCACTGCAGTGCTCAGCGCTGCGTCTATCTGCTCCCCACACTGCAACATTTGGAGGAATCCATAGCAAAATGTCAAGGAGGAGCTGAGCCTAGGGGGGGGGTGGGGGATTGAGCCTGGGGAAGGGTGTCTCAATGATTTATAGCTTGCGCGCGTGTGTTTTTCTCCCGATCGTTCCTCATAAGTTCCTGAATATGGACGGAGTCAGGCTCCAGGCCTCCGACCAGCAAGAGAGACATCTGAGAGAAGCTTTGACTAAAAGCGTTGAAGTGTTTCCGTGTGTCACCCCGGGTTAAGTTGTGCTAACCCCAAATACGACACCGCCCAAGGGGGGCTGGATGCACACATGCATATGGGAGCTAGCATGCAGGCAGGGTTGGCTTTCCCCCCCCCCCCGGCAAACAGGGTGTTGGGTTCAGAGTGTACCTTCTCATTTCGCACTGATGATGGACACTGAAGCATCTCTTTTTCATCCTGGTTCTGTTAACAGATGGGAGTTGAAAGCAAAGAACCAAAGGACAGCTTGGGATGCGAGATAATGGGCGGGTGGTGTGTCTTTTCTTTCAAAATTAATTGGAAGGGGGTGCTGATTAATTGCTTTTTAGTTTGACGATCAAAGACACCTATGAGCTCAAAGAGGGCCGATAGCCGAACATTTGTGCATTATCTTCTATACAGCCTGGGATCTAAAAGTAGGACCAGCTTCTTTTCATCCTGTTGCAGTGAGAGCCTTCTGTTGTGTTGAAAGCACAAAGTCCACAACACCATATTTCATTTGCACTATGTTAAATTAAAACCAATTCAAGGATATTACCGTATCCTGGCTGCACCAATCAGAAAGCACAGTGATGTAAGCTGTTTTTTATCTGCTCTGAGAGAATCTGTTTGATCTAATGGTCTGAAGCAGCATTACACAGCATAATGAGCTGTGTCATGCAAGTGAATGTGGAAAAAAAACGTTACAAAAAAAGATATGTTTATATGAGCAGTGTATGTGAAAGTGTGTAGTTGTACAGTATGAACAATGGCAGGACTGTGCTCGCAGAGAGCCGCTGTGAGATGACAAGTTTAGCAGACCTTCGTGGTAACATACAACAGAAATAGCCTCATTATGAAGCCTCAGTGAGCAGAGCTTAAAAAGGCCACCAGACCTCAGAGCACCTGGGACACACTGAGCTGGATTAAGTTTACACTCCGGTAGGATTCCAACAAAGGAAGTCAAGACCAATGAGTCTCAACTCCCCATAGCTCCATTGATGAAACATGATCACCACCCCAACTATCAGCACCATTCCAGAGCTGCAACAGGAAAACGAGCTGAAGCTGAGATGATGCAACCAGTCACAAAAAAAATCACAAGAAAAATATTCCTCGAAGTTCCTCAAGGTATTTTTCTATGACAGAACGTCCTGAATTGATACCTTCATCATTAGCCAATGAAGTCATTAGGTTAGGATTAAATCCCTCTGATTTACAGGCGGTGGGAGGGGTCAGGTTGGACATGATACAAATAGCATTTGGCCCACGGCTTTAGCCAGATTAAAATGCTCCAATGTCATTAGAACGGAGCCATATGCACCCTGTCATTTAACGGATCTTTTGAAGAGTTGCAGTGTCTCTCTGTGGCACAAAAGCAAGGGGGGGGGGGCAAATGGGGGGAGCACTACTTCCACATACACAGGGGGGGGAAACAGCATCATGTTGAGCGCACATCTAACGAAAGCTACAGGCGTGCACGCACAATTCTGCACAACTTTGGCGGACATTGGGACGGATTAAAAAAAAAGACAGGAAGAAACCCGGTGGCAGGCATTTTGGTCAGGGAGCGGGCTCAGTTTGAGCTCCCGGAGCTCCCGACGAGCGCAATGCGCACAGACAGGACCGCCGTCAAATTAATAAATAAATCGACCCGGGAGGAAGAGGAGGGGGGGGGGGGGGGGGGG